ACACACACACAGACACACACACACACACACACACACACACACCATGGAATATTACTCAGCATAAAGAAGAATGAAATTGTGGCATTTGCTGGCAAATGGAAGGGCCTGGAGATTATCACAGTAAGTGAAATGAGCCAATCCCCAAAAAACCAAAGGTCAAATTGTCTCTCTGATATGTGATATTAACCCAGAACAAAGGAAAGGGAAGGAAAAAAAGAGAAGTTCAATGGATTAGACAAAGGGGAATGAAAGGAAGGGTGTTGGGATGAGAATAGAAAAGACAGTGGAATGAATCTGACATGATTTTCTTAGAAACATATATGAATACAGTACAGTGAATCTCAACATCCATCGTGTACATCCACAAGACTGGGATCCTAGTTAGAATAAGATATACTCTATGTTTTTATAAATATGTCAAAACAGAGTAACTGTCATATATAACTAAAAAAAATTCAAAAAGTCACTATCAAATTTGAATAGAGATCTGTTTGCATCCTTCATTGATGGAATGGAGATACAAAGTCAGCCCTCTGATTGACCTCTTTTATAGGTCAGGAAACTGCAGAGAGGGGACAGCAGCCTCATCACATCACACAACTTCCTCTGTGTTGAATCTGCAGCCTGTGTTTCCCAGTCCAGTGTTCTTCTCTACCTCACCTGGCTGCAGTTTTCTTTGGAGTTGTGATATTTCCCTCCCACATTGAATTTTCATAATTCTTTTCAAGGCACACTTTGATTGATAAAATTCAGCTCCTGAAATTTCCAAGTCCATTTCTTGGAAGTCTTTTCTAGTTTCTTATTTATAAGTTTTTATGCCACATAATGTATGGTTAAAGCAGCTGCTTTTCTTGTTCCCAAAGCTCCGTCATACATGGTAGTAAGAGAATAGATAAATGACTCAGCGTTTTCCAGCCACTGATCCAAGTGCTTTCTCTGTGTGGCTTCGGGGACTTCCAAAGCCTGTGCTACCCTAGGAAGTGTAGGTACTGTGGTTATTCTCATGCTACAGATGAAGAACAAAAGCATAAGGTCCTTGAGTCACTTTTCAAAGATGACACAGCTGGGAATGGGAAGCCGTTTTTGGAACACAGGTCTTGCATTATGAATCTGCACACTTTTTTTTTTGGTACCAGTAATTGAACCCAGGGGTGTTTAACCATGAGCCACATCCCCAGCCCTTTCTTATATTTTCTTTAGAGACAGGGTCTTGCTGAATTGCTCAGGGCCTCGCTAAGTTGCTGAGACTGGCTTTGAACTCACAATCTTCCTGCCTCAGCCTCCCAAGCTGCTGGGATGGATCTGCACTCTGGAATACTCTACTAGTCCTTTTGAATTACACACTCTGTACCTGGACTGGATCACTGGGAAGTTACATTAAAGGGAAGAAGGGGATCCTACCTGATTTCTTCATTGTCAGCAGGATGAGTAAGAAGGAGGCAATCATACCCAACAGATTATATCCTGGAAGATCCACCATTGTCCCTGAAGCAAACACAGGAGAAGTATGAATGTAGTAAGCAAGCTGTGATACACCTGGCAGGCTCTGCAGTTTCCAGTGGCTATGCCATCTTAGCCAAGAATCACCATCAACCTCTTCACAATGAAAGAATGAAGTGGTTTGGCTCCATTTCTCTGCAATTATTGATCAAACCTGACCCCCTTCCCCAATGTATTTCACTTTAAGCTATTTCTTAGGCTTGAAGGCAGAAGGTTTCTGATTGAAATGAAAGGCAGTCCTGAGCTAAAGAGATGTAATATTACAAAAAAGCTACAACAACAACAAAAACTCCTTGGTCTATCATTGATTATGCAGAAATTATAGAGCAGGATTCAAATATTTTTTCTTGTCCTCTTCCTGACCCCTCATGAAAAATCCTTCATCACTAGTTTCCTAGATGTGGAGGAAAGAGACAGAAGGCTCTGCGTCCCCAAGTTGCCACCAGGAAGCCAACATTCAGTACCACCATTCACAGAACTCAGGAGCACAGGGGCCTTGGAAAGTGAAGGAATGCTGGTGGAAGTGGTACTACCAGAGAAGATGGTCAAGGAAATGACCTTAGTGGCCATTTAGAATAGTCTTGAAGACATGTAGGATTGAATAAAATAAAGCCTAACTGGCAGAGATCAGCAAACCCAACAAGCCCATTGTACCAGCATGATAAAAATCCTGTACATAGCTGAAAAATTTAAAACTCACCAGGACAAAGATGGTGTGAGTGTGAAAAAATGAAAAATTCAGAGTGAAAGACACATAAGGCATTATATCTGATGCGTCAAGTATTTTATTGAAAGAAAAACTTGCCTCACACCAGGTAGAAGAACCAGCTCTGGAGCAACATTGAGTCACTCACTGATCCCTTTTCCCCAGAAACTAATGCTAGTAAGATTTTATGGGGCAAGATGAAAAAATAAACAGTCTGAAATAAAGATTATAAATTGAGATTCAGGAGACTATTATTAAGCTAATTCTAAGACATCTCTAAGCAAACTAATATGAGCCCAGTCACAATACATATAAAAGAGCACTAATGTATCTGTATAAAAATGAGACGGAGTACTGAAGACAGCACAGATGGCCAGGATTCCATGGGAAACACAGCTCACTTCTCCTCACTTCTCCTGAGGTTGAAGGATCTTGGGGCTACTTCTTCAGTTCCTCTTACGAAAAGTAAAAATACGTTTGTTTGGGTTTTTTTGCAAACAAGAGCAAAGAAAGGCCCACCAAGCCCGTGCCAAGCACCATCTCTCAGTCCTGTGAACTAAGAAGAGCCCACACTTATTACAGAGCTCTTGATCGGTTTGTATTTCTTTACAACTTATGTTAAAGCATGGAGCGGAAGCCTACAAATGTACTGTAGAGGAATTGCTTGTTCCCATCAAGGAAGGTTTTGAAAAACATTGTGAAAATGCATCTTAACCTTCCCTTGTGCTCAGGGATGGATTTTGTGAGAGGGAATAAAAGAAAGAATAACTACTTTGTACCAGGTCTCAGTTGGGAAAAGAGCAGCTTTACCCTTAGAGGCCATTTTTGCAATGTTTGGGGACATTTTTGGGGAGTCCTAACTTGGGGGAGAGGACACAAAATTAGAAGCCAGAGATGCTGCTGAGCATCCTATACTGCGCAGGACAGACCCAACAGCAAAAAATTATTTATTCCAGAATGTCAGTAATGCCAGAGAAAAACCCTGCCGTGGACTATGTGCTGTCAGCATGTTAAAAGTCTTTGACACATTCTTTGGAAGATTAAAAAAAACTATATTTAAATAGTAATCTTTAAATTAAAAATGGTTTAATTAGAAGCTTTCAACATCTCTACTACTGAATGTTGACCAAGGATCTTCTGAAACTACTGTTGATGATAAATGTGATAAACTTTGGTGTCCTCAAATTCTTTAGAAACTCATTTAATTTTCTGCATGAAATATAAGTGTTAAGCAGCAATGTTAAGTAGTAGTTTGTGTTTAGGTATTAGGTGAAAAACAATTCTAAATTCCAAGATCTATGCCTACACTGTTCATATCAAAGAAAATGACAAATTACTACATATTGTGTCTTTGGATTTTTTTTTCCTAGTAAAATGTCTTGAATGTTTAATACACCGAAGTGGCACAGTTTTGGTCAGTTTAAGGTTTTTAATTAACTGATAATAATTAGTTCAGTTAATAAAGTTTGAAGCTCATATGTCTACATAAAGCTTAAAAGCAATAGTAGTTTGTCAGATGTTGAAACACACAATTGTATAGAGAAGGAAAAATAAAAATAAGAGTTCTAGAGGACAAGATGACTTTGTTTCTATTTTTGTGACCTTGGGCATCTCAGTTTACCTTCTTGAACTTCTACTTACTCTCCTCCTTGGTGGAGACCAGTGTTCCTAATATTTTCTCCAACTATGTCATCACCATGTGACAGACAAGGAAATCATGGCTCAGAGATACAAGCCCAATAGCATACTGATGAAGGTACAGAATGATCTTGGTTTTCTGATTTTATTCTAGCGCCCTCCACACCCAGCTGCTTCACAGAGTCATGGTGAGGATCAGGTAGACTGTGATGGCACTTTGAAAACATACAGTGGGAGATTGACATAAAATACAGTGAGAGGGGTCATAACCAGGACAGAGTTTCCCAACGGGACGCTGACTGCATGAGTGCCCCACCTCCTTCTCCTGGTTGACTCTCCCAGTTTCCCATGGCTGCCCCTCACTAGGGACTCCATCAACTTACTTGTCTCTGTCTCTCCTTGGAGATGAAATCAGGGGCTGCTGGGTCTTCTCCTCACTCGTTCTCAGATGTATCCTTCATTCACATAGCAGGTGTCCAAAGACTGGTCAGAGCTCTGGGATATGCTAATTGGAGACAGAACTATGGGGCAGCCAGAGAGGGTGGGGGTAGCCCTTGGTTCCTTGAGGCTTTGAGTGAAAGAAGGCTTACTTCTGCCAAGCTAGAGGCAAAGCCAAATCCCTGAGGCTCATTCTAAAAATGAGACTTCAGTCAGAATAGCATGTTCACCTCCCACTAGTTGCAATACTCTCAAAAGTGAAACTCAGAAGACAAGTGGACTTTGCCTGGGTTCAGTTGCGAGTTCTTTAGACCTGCAGAGGCAGCTGTGACATTGGCCTTCCTCATCCTCCCCAGAAAGCCAGGGATTCATGATGAGCCACAGTTCCACACTCATATGTGCCATCTCCAGTAAGGTCCTCACGTAGACCTGCTGGCCAGCATCTGTAAGGTCTTCATGCCGTGTCTCCTCACCTGCCCTCCTCCTGCCACATGCCAAAGATTCCCCACCTGGGACCAAATTTCTACCAGAACAGAGAACCCATGAGCCTGCAGAGCTGGAAGCAAGACTGCTTGGCAAATATCCCACCTGTCATTTCTACTGAGGGGAAAACAGTCGCAGAGACAGACAGGAAGGAACTTCTTCCCAACCAGAGCACCCGGGAAGGTCCCATGTGGGCTACTTTACTGATATGTTTGCCTCAATTCTTTGTCTCTGTTTTCTGAATAATAAAGGGTTTTGCCACTCTCTAATAATTACCAGAGAAATTTGATAAGCTTCTCAACATAATGTTTGGGCACAAGGAGTGTGATGATAGAGCTTCTAGGCACCTTTGTTTTGTGCTCTTGTTTCAGCCAGACATTCCCCTTACGTTTATTTTATTCAATATTTAGGAGTCTCTTAGATACATTCTCAGGGTTTCAAGAGTCCTCCAGAATAATGTTCAATTTGAGATTTTCATTTCAATGTAATAGCATACTCAGCACCATGATAGGGTTTGGAGCTTATTTTTCCTGAAGTTTCTTTCCTGCCCATATTATGATCAGCCCCCATTTGGGACACCTCACATGGGGCTACTCTTTTCATTCTCCTCCTCCCGCATTCAGTATAGACAAGGAAATTTCTCATGGTGGAGGATGAAGGATTTTTAGAACAAAGAAATAAATAAACATCAGTGAGAAATAAGGGTTTTCTTTTTGAACATTCAGTTGGAGTAGAGGGGCCTGCTCCTCACTTGGCCTCTGGCTCCCAGGTGGCAGCAGTGCCTGTAGGCTTTCTTCAGGCAATGACCCCTAAGAGGAGCAGCAGAGGGAACATAAGGCAGGAAGAGGAGGGCCCAGGGAGACTCAGATATTGGAATGAAAGTTTTCTGCGTGAAATGCAACATGGAAAGTCAAGACCATGGCACCATGGAACAGCAGTCATTCCCACCAATATTTGGTGATGACAGCAACAACCAGGGAGCACAAGGTGACCATGACATGCAGTGGGGGTCAGTGCTGGAACTGTGAGAAGGGCCTCACACACCAAACCTGCACCACCTCTACTCCAAAACTTAGAAGTAACTCTGGGCAGAAATGAGGGACTGTTTTTATATTAGTGTGAAAACCACTGAAATTATTTGGAAATTACTGGATTAACTCCAGAGCAAAGAAATCATAGTGCTTAATATAAAAATTGGAATCAGTAATAGAATAAGACAAACATTAATTTTTTTCACACCTGAGTTTGTAGCATGACAGTAGAGTACCCATAAACATGGGGGTCCTCTTGATGATAACAATATCAGGATTCTTCTAGGAGTCAGTATAACATTCATCTTTGAATTTTTGTTTGTGGTAAGTCACGTTGGCGCAAACTGGATGCTTAACTTAATTTAGCTCTATTTAAGCTTCTGTGCATTTTTCCTCACAAACCATTCACATCCTGCTCTGATGTCTACCAGTGTTGAAATAAGAACTGTGTCTTGCATTATGCTAGTTTTTATGGGTGGATATTCTGGGTAGGGACATTGATGGTATGTGGAAGAGGAAAAAAGATACAATATCCTTGCCATTCTGATTAGAATCCACATCCAGGAAAGGCAAAACAAATGTCCATAGTATTGTGACCAGAAGAGCAAGATTCTTAAGCGGAGTGCAATAAGGAGTCGGTCATCTATGGGAACACCAGAGGGCAGCAGAGACCTTCTCACTCTC